CTTTTATTGCATCTAGTGCTTTTTTGTGTGTTGGGGCTCGTTAAAGCACCCTCATCTTGAGCTGGAATTGCTTCTAAGACGCGCTTGTTGACTCTTTTGATCCTATTTGCCATGCTTCATATCCTTTAAGTCTTTTCTTACCTCAATTTATTTCAATTTACCTACAAAACAATTAAGGATAATTTCAATGATTCAATTTTCATGTTTTTTAGCAAATTAACCTTAAGTTCTCATGTTTTTTAACTAAATAATTTTGTGAATTCAGCCCTTAAAACATGATATATTATGTGTTTATCAATTAGCTGGTCTGTTGTTTTGAACTATGATGTTAATTGCTCATCGTCATTAATTTATTTTTCTTTATAATTAATTAATATCGAACTTGTAGGTTAAGAGTCCATTATAAATCAAAGTAAATGCTGACCATTTGGGCACTTGCCAACTAATTTTTTTAAATCAAATATCATATGCAATAAAAGAAATTTCAAAATATCAATATTTAGTAAATCTTACTTAATTTTTTCCTGAAAAATAAGAAAAACGTTTTGATTAATTATTATGTGCCAGTTTACATGTACGTAATCAAAATTATTGTTGTCACATTGAAATTCAAACTACCTGATTAACCAATTATTACTGAGGTGGGTGGAAAAGTAAGAGGAGTCAAAAAATAGTGCTACAACCCAAGAGTTATTCGTGGAAGAAAATAGTGAGTTCAGACGCAGGTTGGTTTTAAAATAATAATAACAATAACGCTACAAATAATTAATCTTTTAATTACTTCTTATGAATACTTATTCCATACGGTTCTTTCACTTTAATAAATGTGTACCAAATATTTTTCGGGCTATGATGTCTGGCAACTGCCACGACTGAGTGGACCCTGCAGTGTGGTGCAGACACTGAGTAAGCCATTGTTTCCTTGAATAGGACATTTGGTACGCATGCTGAGCTGAGTCATAATATTTAAAAAGGAAAATAAAATCTCCTTTTGAAAAGAAAAAAAGAGAGTCGAACACAAGAAAGCAGTTATAAAAATTGACTCGACCCGCCCAGTTCAAACTGGGTTCAATCAGTATTAGATGGGCAGTAATTAAAATAAATCAATCAATCAATTTTATGGAATTATAGTATAATATTTTTCACTAAATCAATTCTAATTATTAACTAAAATATTTCTAATTTTATATTTTATTACATATATTTAATTAATGAGGTTAAATTAATGATCTAGTGATTAAGTCGACGACCTATTAACCTAGTACTAGTACCCGACCTGAGTGGATAACCGATGTAAAATTGATAACATTGCAAGAAAGTAACATGGTCGGCTGGCCTTAAAGGCAGGAGGAAACGGACATCACGAAAACCTTATCTGAAATTCTCATATCTGATACCTCTACCACTCCCAACTTCTACGCTCCATAATCATCTACCTCCTACGGAATCAAATGCCCATCATACCAAATCATTGGTGGACCCATATGTCACACATACCGTCATCCTTCTTCGTGCTCCCCACTCTTTTCTCGCCACCTGTTTTATATTTTTTTTTACACTTTTAGTTATCTATTTCACATATTATTTAAAGAAAAATATGTATTATTTTAAAAGATATAAAATTTGTATTATTCTAAGTAAAAAAAAAAAATAGATCATGAAAGAGAAAATGAACAAAAAAATAAAAGCATGGTTTTCACCTTTTTATTAAAATAAAATAACACAAGTTGTACTATTTAAATTGAAAAAATATTTTTTTCCATCATTTAAAGTGATAAGGGTGGTGATGACATGAGAACCACCACTAGTTTGTTGGATTTTATGTCACTTTGTTGTGTGGATGTGATGTGGAATCAGATTGCTTAAATTAGTGATTTGATTAATGCCAACACCGCGGATACGTCGGTCATTAGTCTGTCACACGAACATTGTGATTATTTTGTCTTGTAAAAGAAATAATTAAATCCAAAAATTTAGGATAGATTATAATAATAACTTTATATTTTTTTAATAAGTCCTTTTACACAAAAGTTTACTAGGTTTGAAGAGTAAAAAATACATAAGTTCACTTACTTATGATTAAGAAAATTTACAAGATTTAATTATTTATTAATTAATTAAGGGTCAGTGAAGAATGAATCTGTGATATCGAGATTCTAATATCATGTAAAGAATAATTCGACTTAAAAATTTAAGCTATTGAGTGAAGTTACATTCAATAAAGCACACGCAATTTTTTTTGAAAAATGTGTATCAGACACCTACACGCTTAGACACGTTCCGACACGCGGTCAATATTTTGCGACACGTGGTCAACGCTCCAACACGTTTCAATACGCTTTTTCGACACGTGATCAACTTTTTCTGACACGCAGTCAACGCTTCGACATTTTTTTAGGTCTAAATTTTATTTTATTAAATGAAAAAATAATTTATAAATTAATATTTTTCTGTTATAGAATTTGACATGAAAAATTAACAAGGTACAAAAAATTAGTTTTTTATATTATGTTATCTAATTTGAATATTTGATTGGTTACATGACTTATTATGACCTGTTATATAAATTATATTATATATATTAAAAATAGTATTTAATATCAAAACGTGTTCTAATGTGTCGAAATATGATATTTTTTTGAATTAATGTATCGGTGTATCATATCGTGTCCCATATCAATAGCAGTGCAACCTAGGTTACTTTAATAATTTTATATTTCTCTTTTAAAGTCGAATTTAATTGAGAGAATAATACCTGCTGTATACTATATAATATATCCTATCGCATGTTCACGTTCATGCATAAAACCATTTCCCTTTTTCTTAGGATTTTAATTTCTTTCACTGTTTCAAAGTCAAATTCTATCTACTTGAGTTGGGTCCCAAATCGAAACAAAAGCAACGGCCAACGGTTACCCATCAACTTCTTTTTTTTTTTTTTGGTATCGAGTCACTTGCTGACAAAAGCTCTGCATAATCCTGTTTCTAAAATATTTGGTGCGTGACACCTTATGGTCTTACTCGTTCAAATATTAACAAATTGTGATTTATGGCCTTTCTAATATCTTAATCAATGCAGCTTATTTTTTAAGCAAATCAATTAAATCAACCTGGTACTGTAGACTATAGAGGCTTCCCTGAAAAAAATAATTTTGTTTGTTTAGAATGAATAAAAATATTTCATGGCGTCATAAATACTCACTCGTGACGTAATAATTAAGTTTTTCCTCAAATATCACCGACACGCGCCTAAAAGCCCCTGAGATACAATTTCTTACTCCCACACACGCACAGATGACTATTTTTTGTAGTTTGAAAAAAGGTCATGTTTCTTGTATATTTTATGTATTTTTTTTTTAAAAAAGGTGTTTCGGTCTTCTTTTTGACCTTGTTGTGATCGAAGAGGAGATTGGAATTAGATTCAGGTACATAAAAGGAGAACAACTTGCATTCTTAATTTCAAAATAATCATTTGCCCCCGCCCACCTTTTGTGTGTCCAGATTACGCATCCCATTAAAGTTAAACGAAATATGCGTGGGCTTATTCTCATCGAATATACTGCTCAATTAATTTATTATTTATCAAATCCATGTTGGTTGAAGAAAAGGACCATTTCTAATTTTAAATTCAATTCCAATTCAACCTGAAACAGCTTAAAGACGATCTTTTTCCTTGGAATATTTTTCCGTAAAATTCGAGTGAGAACGAGTTTATTATTATAAGCAATGTGTACGTACGTGATCCACGTATTAAATTAAATTTATTTCATATTAATTAAAGAGAGATGCTAGCTAAAAAAACTGTATGAAATAATTTGTTCAATGACACGAAGGCAAGAAATGCATCAATATATAGGAGCTGGTGTTAACGCGTTGTTTTCCTGGTGATTAATTATTTTAGGTTTGATCATCAATTATGGGTGACCTAACTTCTGCTCAGCATAGCCGACAATGCATTATTGGAAGTGCTTTTAGTACTAATACAGAGAAGTAGGTCCCAAACACTCTACATCAACTTTCTAGTTAAGCAAAGATCCGGATTCTTGTTGATGAATCATATTCTGGCACCATTATAACTCTTTGAAACTCCAATTGTGTCTTGTACCTACTTTTCTTTTACCTTCTTTTCTATTGGAAACAAACAAATAGTGCACATCCCTTTTAATCTTCCACATTCATAATAAGCCAGAGAAAAACCGTCCAACCATCCCTCACATTCCTCATTTCATTAAAAAGTATGCAATATTGGTAGCAAAGTGACATGATAGCCATCTCTAATTAGTTCAACCCGGCATGGAGTGGGAGACAGTTCATGTGGGTCTATTATAGTTATAGAACTTTGTCATGCACATATATGTTCCCACCTATTTCCAGTCATGCTCTTAATTTTTTGCTTTTGTTATATTTATTTTCGGAAATAACTTATGATGTAGTCTTTAGATGAGTGCCATTTGCCTATGCATAAACAAATCAAGACAGAGGGGGGAGGGTAATTTAGGAAACAAATTAAGACAAGAAAACGCGAGGAAAATAAATAAATAAAGGCTGCTGTGTTACGAATAAAGCAGGACTAAAGGAGGCCAATAATTGGTACAATGTAAAGTGAAGCTACTACATAAGCAAGGAAGCATATATAGGTAAAGAATGCGTGGTAATAATAATGGACTATACACATAGTAGGAGATAAATTATCTTATATTATATTGTGAAATAAATAAAATGGAGTTTATCAATTTAAAAAAAAAATACATTTTTTTATATGAATATAATATGAAAAATAAATCTTATATAACATGAGAATATAATTTCTAAATAATAATATATATAGCCATATATGGGTACATCTGTGGGTGGCTAGCTAAGGCAACCCGCTTGATGTGTTTTGCAATGCCATGTGTGAACAGTAGAATTTCAGGTATTGAAGAGCGAAAGAGGGGATTTTCCTAGTTTGTCTGTTATTATAATTATAATGGAGGAAACAGTATTGGGGCTGGAATGGTCAACCTGTGTAAGAGATATACAAGGGTCTATAATTATTTCCAATATCAAGATTCGTTTCTCTACTCATTCCTCCCTTTGATTAGTATTCATAATCATAGCCACCCACCCACCCACCAAACGACCCCACAAAAGTTTTATTCATTCTCTGCCCCCTGTGTTCTTCTAGTGAGACCCTTTTAATCCCATGACCCTTTTAAACCATACCATCTAATTTTCCAACTCAAGCAGATACGTACGTCTCTCCCATGTCTTTATCCTCTCAAATGGGTCTTGATCAGGATGCCAGTAACTCAGGCCTTCACCTTGTCCTCGGATTATCTTTGACTGCTACTACAAAGGAAACCACCATTTCACCTCCACCCATCAAGCCTGATGATCATCATCTTTGTCTTAAGCCAACGCCAATGAAGTCCTATTCCTCAAATGAACCGTCTTTAACATTGGGTCTCTCCGGTGAGTGTTACCAGCAGCAGGTGGCCAAGCAAGTGCCCAAAAATAATCATGGGAACAAAGTTTATTATGAGGACCCTCTTGACTTGTCTAGACAGACTTCACCTCACAGCGTTGTTTCATCTTTCTCCAGTGGGAGAGTGGTCAAGAGGGAGAGAGATCTTAGCTGTGAAGAGGTAGAGGTAGAAGCAGAAGAGAGGGTTTCTTCAAGAGTCAGTGACGAAGATGAAGACGTCATGAATGCAAGAAAGAAACTCAGGCTTACCAAAGAACAATCTGCACTGCTAGAAGAGAGCTTCAAACAACACAGCACTCTCAATCCTGTAATTATAATCAATTTCTCTCCTCTCTCTGAAAATACACACGAATTTTAAACAACTACTAATATTATTGTCTTGTTTCTTGATTTACAGAAACAGAAGCAAGCTTTAGCCAGGGAGTTAAATCTACGGCCTCGACAAGTTGAAGTTTGGTTCCAAAATCGGAGAGCCAGGTACGTAATCTTTTGATAAAATTAATATTCTTTCCTTATTGAATTTGTAGTTCTTGAATACGGGTTTGACAGATTCAAATAAACGTACGTTGATGCTAGATGATTAAGATTTTTTTGGTTTGTGTACTGTTACAGAACAAAGCTGAAGCAGACGGAGGTGGACTGCGAGTTCTTGAAGAAATGTTGTGAAACTTTGACAGATGAGAATAGACGGTTAAAGAAGGAGCTGCAAGAACTGAAGGCACTGAAACTAGCTCAGCCCTTGTATATGCCTATGCCTGCGGCTACCCTCACCATGTGTCCCTCTTGCGAGAGGCTTGGTGGAGTGAGTGACAGCGGTTCCAATAAGAGTCCCTTCTCCATGACCATGGCTCCCAAGCCTCACTTCTACAATCCATTCGCCAATCCTTCCGCAGCATGTTGATCATGGTTAGGTTTTCACTTTTCACGGTGAAGAGGTTAAAAAGAAAAAGAAAAAACCAAGAGTATTCCCCCACAACCATTGTATTTTTTTGGTTGAGGGATACCTCTAGCTAGGTAAAGTTGTAATTAACTAATACTATAGAAAATAGTAACTGCTGAATACATTACTTTTTGCTTTTCCTTCCTTTATTGTATGTTTATAAGTCATTATAGAAGAATCGATCTATGAAGGAATTATTATTATTATTTTTGTTCATTTTTTTTTTATCGTCATGGTAAGTGTATATATCTATGGATACACTTTTGTTAATGTTGTGAACAGAAATTCATCCCCCTTTCATCGAACAAGAAAAAGGTGCCTGGCGGATTTTTTTTTTTGGAGGGTTGTTCAGGTGTGCATTTCTTCTTCATGTTCGTGTAAGAAGTTTTTAGACTTCAGTACGTCACTATTATTAAAAGACCGATTAAAATATCTTTTTACATGGAGTTAAATAAATTTATGATAAATTTACTTCTTATATCTTTCTTAAACAAATTGGAATTAATAAAGTAAATTGCGAAATATATTTATATATACCTTCCCTTTCTATATATGCATACATAGATGAACTGGTACATAGGTCATCTAGAGTCTAGACGCGTATACTGCGAGTAATATAACGAGAAATCAAAGTTGAATTCTCGTAAAATAATTGATAATTTTTCAAAACTTCTTTCAATGTGCTGGGCTCAATAATACAAATATAGTGTATCATTGTTCAAGGAAAGCAGAATATAAACAGTCTTTTTTCTACCAGGAAATATGTATATTTAGAATTCAGTCAAGTAAATTGTCTCGAGTATAACCTACTAAAAAATACCAGATAGGGAAAAGTAACAAAAGAATATCCTCCAAAAAAAAAACACTTAAACAATGACAGTTGAAAAATGGTATTCGTTAATATTTATTTCATATTTTATATTAATTATTAAATTATATTTAAAGTTTTATTAAATAGATTACATTATTCAAATTCTGTGTGTGTATATAACAATATAACATGTAAAATTATGAAAGTTGATTATATAATACATGAGTTGGATGGGATGGGAGGTTATGATTAAGTTAGGGAATGGTCCAAGGTGTGGATAGGGAAGTTGGCTCACGTGTTTCTGTCTGCAAATCAGTTGCTTAAAGAGGGATTGAATGAGAGAGAGAGAGAGAGAGGATTGTCTAGAAAGAAAGAAATGGATGGTTCACTTTGAAAAAACAAGGTTAAAAGAGAGATTTGATTATATGTGGATATGGTGCCGTCTCGTGTGATGCTGTGCCTTTAAGGGGACTGGTGGGTCACGCCCCCACGTGATGGCCCAATGGGAACGGGTCTCTCTCTCGAAATCTAAACATGGTATTTTAATCAAGATAAAAACTATTTTCATGTTACATCACATAAATTTTTTCTCTTAATACTCTTTGATAATTGTGTTTTTTTTTTTTTTTTTAACTTTTTCAGATTGTGAAGTTCACAAATTTATCTTTATGATATAAGATAATTTATCTTATTTAATATGAGATTAATAAAAAAATTTTACTTAATATCTTCTCCACCCTCCTTTTTGGTTAGTTTGCCACATGCCTGGACCCAAAAGCCCTCCCTGCCCCTCATACTCCGCCTCACACGTCATCTCAGGTTCCCTCATACCCACTATCAACGGTGCAGATCTCTTGCGCCCATTCCTAATTGCCCATACACCGTATACGTTCTCCCCACGCTATCATGATTGGAATGGACCCTAGAGGATTCAATGCTGAACAAGACGTTCCTAACATCTATGTTAGTATATACAGCAAATAATAATAATAATAAAAATAATAACCATATATTCTTGTTGGAGATTTTATAATCATTTATTCAGATAGATTTCATTTGGGAAGATATAATAATTATTGAATTCCGCACATCACTCGTAATGCTGTGGACCAATAAATATCATGAGAGGGACTTTCCGAGAAACTTTCCCGGAAACTGCTAATCTGCCTCCTCATCGTCACTTTCATCATCAGTTTTAACCCATCGCCATCATCATCGCATGAGGCCCCTCTTCAACGCTCTCATTGAACTCCAAGTCCATACATATCATTATTCTGTGCTCATCGAGGAATTTCGAGTATGAAAGCTATGTAAAAATATAGAAATTTCAAGTCTAGTACTTTTTCTATATTTAATTAGTTCAACCTCCTTGTCCTTGGACATATCTGATCATCAGTACTATAGGTCTTTTCTCGTGGCCAAATCCTAGCGTGATGAAGGGGCCATTTTTATTTTTTAAAAAAAGGAAATGAAAACGCAACATGCATATATAGGACATCAAAAACCAAGTATTTTGGAACTCGAAAAAAGCTACAAAAAGGGAATATAGTTCATGCGTGCAGAATCAAAGCAGCTTTGCGAAAAGTCTTTGATGTTTAAGTTCACCTCTTTAGACGGGATGGTTTTATGTTTTGATTTTGTATCCATACTACGTGTGCGCAGACGTAATGGCCTTTATAAGTCCCAAACTAACCTGTGTGTCCTCAGTTCGCTACTTTGTCGACCCCGTAAACGGAATTTCATCATTCAACAATTATTTGATGGATTAAAACTGTCCATTAATTATTAATTGTTATAAAATTAATAGATTTAAATATTTTCATGTTTTTATACTTGTGTTATAAATAAGTAAATAAAGCAACTGTTATATAATTTATTATTATTTGTATATAATTTATCAAATTTAGTCTTGGCATTATTCTCTCTTATAACATAAAAGAATATACATTATAAAATTCAAAATTACATTTAATTTATATTATTACTTTGTCAATGATGACAATAACTGTGCCTCTGGCCTCATGATGATCATCTTCCGTTTTTATATATTAAATGTCGTTTAAAAACATTAAAATCAATCGCCAGTTTAATTAAGAGGCTGTAAAATAGTGCCTGGAAATTACATAAATTCAATTATTAGTCATAGCCTCATAGGTACGGAGTTTTCTTGAATTCACCCACCACAAACTATTACTTTATACAATTGAGTCAATTGACGCAAGTTAAAACTCAACCACACGAGTTATTTCAAAATAACTGTAATAAATGGGGAAATAAATCTTTTTATGAGAAAAAAAAATCATATCGTCGTAGAAAGATCACAATCATATAAAGTTGAATTAATAGTTATAATTTTGTAATTATATATTTCAATATTTTTTTTCTTTATTTCATTGATTCATCTTTATGTGATTGTGATTTTCTATGATCATATCATTTTTTTTTAAATATGAAAAGATTCAGATCCAATAAATGGATATTACTAATAACTATTGTAATTGACATCTAAATATTCACATACTTGATATCAATATTTTGTTAGATAATAATATTAAAATTATTAATTAATCTCAAGTTATAATTTATTATAAAAATATTGGTATAAATTATTCTTTTGTCTATAGTTTATTTCTTGGTGCTTATTTTAAACTTGAGAAATATTTAGATATTAGAAATAAAATGATAATATTAATATGTTTGCTTATTTTTTCTAATATTTTTTTTTTTTGTGGGTTGACCCTGTCAACCGTCTCAAAATGGGATGTTTTAAGTGCTAAATGACTTAAAGTGATAAATGAGAAGCACCGATTTAGTGAAAATATCCCTGAAGTTATCTTTCAGCCAATTTTTCGTATAAAAAATGATGGATTTGGATCTTGTGTTCTGTATAGAAATTGTAGATATTTCTTTCATCTTTCTCAACGAGACCAAGATCACATCAATCGGACGAGTATAACACAAGTTATGTTCAAAATACGATACAATGTGCTAGCTATCAACTAGAGCGTGTTTTAAGTGCTCTAAAGGTGTTTTAACGCACTATCTACGTAACAAATGCCATTTTTAGCGCACTATAAAGCTCATTTATGACCCAACTAGAAAATGTTAAAATTGCGACGGTATTTTGCGATGAAAAATAAACCATTGCAAATTGCGACAGAAATTTCTACGAAACATCAATCATCGCAATTTGAGACGAAAATTGCGATGGAAATATGTCAAAAATTTGGTCACCAAAAAATTGGACGCAAATTCTATCACATTTTTGTCGCAAATTGCGACGGAAATCAATTCAGTCGCAAAGATGAAAAACTTGCGACGGGTGTTTATGACGAAAATTTTTACGACCGATAAACCAGTCGCAAACCTTGGAAGCAAACTTTGCAACGGCTATAAGAATTGATCTGTTGCAATTTGCGACGGTATTATTAGATTTGATTTGTGACGGATTTTGCCATGATATTCCACTTGTATTTTGCAACGGAATAACATTCCACGCAAATATTGAAATATAATTTTTCTTAATGAATAATCTTATATATGTATCTTCTATAAATAACATAAAGGCAACTGCCAATAAAAAATGTTGCGCAATTTTGCGATGAAAAATATATCTGTCTGAAATTGTGACGAAAATTTTCCATCGCAATTTGAAATATAAAATTAGCAGACTTTTAAAATTACGAAAATCAAAAATATTGCGCAAATTTGCAACCGAAAATATATCCGTCCTAGACTTTTAAAATTTCAAAATTCAAAAATATTGCGCAAATTTGCGATCGAAAAAATATCTGTCCCAAATTGCAACGGAGTTCTTCGTCGTAATTTGAAAAATAAAATTAGTGGGCTTTTAAAATTCTGAAATTCAAAAATATTGTGTAAATTTGCGACTGAAAATATATCCGTCTCAAATTGCGACAGAATTTTGCGCCGCAATTTGAAAAATAAAATTAACGGACTTTTAAAATTTTGAAATTCAAAAATGTTGCGCAAATTTGCGACCAAAAATATATCCGTCCCAAATTGTGACAAAGTTTTTCGTCGCAATTTGAAAAATAAAACTAGCAGGCTTTTAAATTTTGAAATTCAAAAATATTGCAAAATTGTACGACGGGACAGATATCCGTACCAAATTGCGACGAAAAATTTATGTCTCAAAAACGCTGTTAAGTACAAAAATTAAATGCGTAGATTTCATTTCTCTCATTTCTCTTTCTTCTCCATTCTCATTCAGTTTTTTCTCCATTTAGTGAAAAACATCATTCATCATGTCACTTTCATCTCTATTTCACTCTACCATTTTCATCTTTCCTTCCATAGCTTCCTTTCCATGGCTTCCTTTCCATGGCTCCCTTCCATCTCCATTTCCTATCTTTTGGGTTTAATTCTCTCT